TTGTGGTCTCAAGGCGCATCCCTTTTCCTACAGATGACTCAGTTTATTCTCTGCCCTGGTGCTCTGTAGGCTTCAGCTGCAAAGGGGCTGCTGGGCCCCACCAGTGGCCCTGGGTCCTGCATGTGGTCAAGGGCACCTTTACCATGCTAGCTGTACCCAGAGCTCTTCCTGAAGCTGGGAAGCCAGTTTGGTGGCAGACACAGGCGCAGGAGGTTCAGAGGAATCTACTCACCCTCACAGCCTGGACCCAGGGCTCACAGGCAGGTGCTGGGGACAGACTGCAGCTGGTGACTTGGATCGGTCCACTCTGAGAGTGACTTCCCTTGGGGCTCAGCCACAGGAGATAAGCATGAAAAACCTGGCTTCATTCCTCACCTCAGGCAAGGGATTCCCTTCTGGGCCTCACTTTCCTTCTCTGTCACAATAATAATCAGTAGGAGTCTGTGGAGGACCCCTGGGCCCACTCTCCCTGAACAAAGAGCGGTCATCTCCATTTCGGCTAGACCTGGTCCTATGTCCATGTCCCGATGCGTACAGAGCTGGCTAAGCTATTTCCTTCTCCCTTCAATTGGCACTGAGCAATATGAATAGGCCTGTCTGAGGTGCTGATGCGTAGCCTTTGACACTAAGCAATGATGGTGGGCTGTTTCCTGCCCCATGGCTCCCATCAAACCATGAGTGAGCAGGGCAGGATGACAAGCCACCACTCCAGGGCTGTCACCTGGGATCTGCCTGGAGATAAAAGGCTGTGACTTCTTAGCGCAGAAAAGTTTGCACATCAGAACTGAAGCCCTGGTCCCCTAAGTGTTAAATGTCACCTGAATTGTGTTATGCAGCTTACTCTTTCTGAATATCCTTCCTTCTTCGTATTGCAGAGGGGATCTCAGGCCACATTTCCCACCGTTCTCACACTCATTCATCCTCAAGCCATTCCTACTCCACAAATTAATAAAATCCAGATTAGGTCCTGGGTTGAGGCTTTTGTTCCGATGAACCTTATCTTGGCTGGGCTTAGGACCCATGACTGTAAATATGTCTTTGTGTCTTTATTCTCACTGTGGGTTGCACTGGAAGTGGAAGATTGGAATTCCAATAACTTTTCCATGGGATTGTAAACTTCCTGGATTGAGATAAGGTCCAGAAAAAGCTCTCTATAGGAGATCTACAGGTGCCCGTGAATCACACATGAGCAGCATTCACGAGGAGCACACAGCAGGCTGAGAGCAGATGTAAAGGAGACATTGAACTAAGACTGAGCCTCATGTCTGCTGGCAGAGGTGCTGGATTTCAGGGTCACAGTGGGCAGGTGGGTGGAGGAGCCCCTGGGAGAAGGAGACTTGGATTGGCTATAGAATGAAATGGGTAGGATTTCTCCTTTCAGCACTTCTGGCTTTGGGGCCACAGTGTTCCTGACTGTGGCTGCTGTGTGCATGGCAGCTCAGGTGCCAGCCTCTGTGGCCTCTGCCCCCTGGACCACCACCTTCCCCCAGGGGTGGAACCTCAGCATGGACAGATGTCCCCTGGGGTGAGGTCTCCACAGCAGAGAACTCCTGTTCCAGATGGAGATGGTGAGGGCAGCACAGCGGCCCAAAGCAGCTGACTCTGGGCACAGCAAGACTGCAGGAGCCGCCACTATTGAGTGTGCTCATGTGCGCGTGCATGTGTGTCATGGAAAAATGTGTCTAAAAACAGGAGGAACAGAAATACTCTCACCAAAGGGAAACATCTTAAATAACACTGTTTCCATAGCCCATGATCAAGGGCTTTGAGAATTGATGAAGCTGTTGGCCCTGGGCGGCTCCCAGTGAGGTGACCTTTGCCCCCCATAACTTTCCTTGCACTCCTGTGCTCCTTGCCAAGAACTCACCAAACCGCGTTCTCCGGCTTCACCCTGCACTCTCCATGCCTTCCTGAGAGGCAGTTCCCACGATCCAGCTCTTTCAGGGAATCCTGGAATGCCAGAATCTGCTCCAAATCCTGGGAAATGATCCTGTCTGTTTTCACGGGGGCTGGCATCAAGGGCTCCTTTAACGCACATGTTCTCTCTCTCTCTCTCTCTCTCTCTCTCTCTCTGTCTCTCTCTCTCTCTCTCTCTCTCTCTCTGTCTCTCTCTCTGTCTCTGTCTCTGTCTCTCTCAGGAATTCTTCCTCTTTCTCTGAAATTCATTTTTCTGTCTCCGTCTCTCTCACTGTTTCTTTCTTGCTTTCTCTGGAATTCTGGGTCTATCTCTCTTTCTGGAATTCTGTTTCTTTATCTGGAATTCTCTGTCTTTCTCGACTGGCTCTATTTTTCTGGAATTCTGTCTCTGGAATTAATTCTTTCCTCTGGAATTAATTCTCTGTTTCTGTCTCTGGAATTCATATTTTTTTTTTCTCTCTCTCTCTGGAATTCTGCCTCTTTCTCTCTGAAATTCATCTTTTGTCTCTGTTTCTGTGCCTTTCTCTGGAATTCATTCTCTTGTTCATTCTCCGTCTCTGTCTGTGTCTGTCTGTCTGTCTGTCTGTCTGTCTGTCTTTCTCTGGAATAGATAACAGGTTTGTTGAGCAGATTTCTCAAATGGTGGCCACCCACCTGGGGCTCTTGTTAAAATGCAGATTCTGACTCACACTCTGCTTTCTTGCAAGTTCCTTTGTGACACTGACACTCCTGCTCCACAGTTGCTGAAAATCAAGGTGCCCGCAGGTAATTCTCCAAAACCTCTTCTTTTTCAGTGCCTAAAGTCAAGGCTCATCAGCAATACTTTAGAAGCAGCGGAGAGGCATTTTTAGCAATGGAAATACAGATGTCCACAGGAGAGTTTTGCTGTTCACAGCACAGGCGTCTGTCTTGCTCTCCAGGTACATCAAGACTGACGCCTTGTGGCTCGTGCTGCAGGGTTTCCTTGGGCCCAGGGCTTTATCCTCCTCAGCTCGTGTCTTTCTAAGGCTGCAGCTGAGAACAAAGTCCTTTCAGGAGCAAGAGGTGGAAGAAGGTGGGAGTAAACCTGGGAGGAGGGCAACGGCGAGCCCAGTGTTGGGGTGAGCACTCGGTGGGTGTCAGCACGTGGATGCACTGGCACAGGCAGTGGCCACCTGTGTGTGTATCATGCAGGGAAATCCCTGCAAATGGCTCCAGGGAGGCAGTGGCAGAAGACACTGCTGCAGGCTGCACCAGCTTCCCAAAGGATTTGGCAAGGGCTCACAAAAGTGGTAAGGATAACCTGAGCCCTGTGGTCCTTTATACTGGGAGATTACAGCCAGGCTTTGCCACAGCCCGAGGGTGCCATACAACGAGGCCATTGTACGGCCCGGGCATTCATATTGAAAATAAAATATCAGCTGGGTGGTCTGGAATAATGCAGGATTTCTGAGTCCAGCCAAGCATCTGTGTGGCAGGCGGGTGCACAGATTACCCCAGTGGAGTCCAGCCTCTTAAGGGTTTAGAGGGAGGGTGAGGACAGAGGAGGAGGAGAGGCCCAGTGATCAAAGCAACTCTAGGGCGAGAACTGTTTATCTGGAGCTGGGACACAATGGGGTGAGGAAAGCTGGAGTCTGTTTCCAAGATCTCCCTGAAAAGCTCTGGACTTTGGATGAAAGTGTCTCACCCAGCACTCAGGGCAACCGCAAGGTGAGGGAGGCACTGGGTGGTTATGGAGAGCTCGGGAAGCTCTGGGACCTGAGGCCACACACAGGTCTGGATCAGGATCTGGGAGGACTGGCCACCAGCTCAGCCTTGACTTGGAAAGTCTCCTTGAGACGGCCACATCAGTGCCAAGGACAGGGCCGCAGGGGTCTGCGATGGCCAACCTCCACGAGGATGCTATCCCTCTCCACATGTGGTCTCATGGGCGCTGGGCCTCTGTCTGTGAAGGCTCCGGCCCCAGGCTCCTCATGGCTGCGCTCTTCCTGCCTCCACAGTCCCAGTGCGAGGGACTCTTCAGAGAGCAGAGTCCAAGGAAGATGGAGATACAGGGGAGAGGCGGAAAAAGAGTGGGTACCCCTCCTATGGAGTCCACTGTGGATGCTCTGCCAGTGGGCAGCTGGGGGCTGCAGTGTAACACGTCTGAGCCAGAAGCTCCGACCAGGGAAGCAAAGGTGTAACTCTGCTCCAGGCCTGCACACTGGGGCCCCTGGTGTCACTCTTGGAGTGGGAAGTGCTGATGTCTGGGGCAGGAGGAAAAGGGTGTTTCTTCTTTCCAGGTGAGAAAGAGAGAGCAAGAGAGAAAGAAAGAAGAAATTGCTCTCTTTTCCTCAGGCCTCCAGAGGTTGCACCGTGCCTCCCTGCCTTGGCAGTGAGTCTTCCTCATCCAGCGGCCTATCCCATACCTCCAGAAGCACCCCGCAGGCTTCTGCAGTGCTCTAGGGGTCCTCAAACCATCACACACTGCTGCAGGCCTGAGCCCACTACAGAGCTGTGCATAGCCATTCTATAATGGTTTCTATCTAGATGTCCCCCTAAATCCTCACTGGATTACAGGCAGGACCTTTGGAAAGTGGCTGGGTTATGGGGGTGCTATAGGTCACTTGTATTAGGAGGCGGGACCTGGGTGGACCAGGCGGTCACTGTGGATGTGACCTGGAAGGTTATTTTCCTTCTCTGGTTCCTCCCTTCTTTCTCTGCTTCCTGTCCCTCATACTGGGAGCAGCTCTCTTTTGCCAGATCCCTCTGCCCTTCACCCTCCCCTGGAGTAGCTGACCATGGACTGACATGGGAGCCAAAAGAAACCCCTCCCCTCCTTCTTAGCTTGTTAGTGCTGAGTATTATCTCACAGCAAGGCGAGGAGTAACTAGGATGGATTCTCTTGCGTGAGCTGCTGAACTCAGGGCTTTGTGAGTCTCCTTGGCTCTTTTCATCTGTGTGCCAAGCAACTAAAAAAGTCTGAGCATAAGCAGTTTATGCAGGGAGGACCCTGGAGGAAGTGTGATAAGGGAGGAGAGGAAGCCAATACCAGGGCTTAATGAGGATGGAGAAGAAGGAGAGGGTCATACTTCATGGGGACGCTGCTCGGCGGGGTCCCATCCAAGGGGGAGGGGATGGAACCGCTGGTCAGACAGGGTCCCCCTACAGTCTCTCCTTGAGGCTTCCCTGGAAGGCACTGTTGGACCCCTGCAGCTCTTGTTGCCCTCCCCCTCCATGGATAACATATGCATGTCTGGGGAGCAGCGGACAATCACAGAACACAGAGGTGACCCCAGCAAATCTGATCTGTTTTTCCTTGGTGCATAGTGACTGGAAGTTGTGTTTGAGGGTATGTGAGGCTGGATACCATCAGGGCTGCGGGCTGCCCCTGTCATGCTCTGCAGCGGGTGAGCAGGATGGGACACCCCACACACACGAGCCACTGCCCCCACCCAGCAAGCCTCATCCCTCTGAGGGCTACTGTACGGGGCATTGGCCATATCTTGCAAAATAGTTACACAGAACGATGAATTCCTGCACACATTAGATTAGTTCCTCACAGCCCCAGGATTTGGAAGTTAGGGTTAGGGTTAGAATGGCTGGACACAAAGCCAGTTAATGTGGGAAGAACTTAAAATGGCCCAGTGTCTGCAAGACACAGAACAGAGCTGGCAGTGTGGGCTCCTGAGCTTCCTCTGTTCTGAAACAAAGTGTAGGCTTTGACAAATCCATGTTCTAATCCATAGGTTCTGTCTCCGACCTCAGCCAAATGCTTCTGGGTGTGTTTGCTTTTCTGCCTTTGAGATTTTTCCTGTCTTGCAGGCTAATTTGGGCCGCACCTTTGCCTGCCTTGTTCCATCCTCTGCCTAAAATCGTCTCTATTTTCCATCTCTAGTGTAGATTTTCACCAAGCCACGTTTCCCGTTTCCAGACTGAGCCACCTGCTAGGTGGGCCAGTTGATTGACACATTCATTGTTCAGAAAGCAGTACCGGGTGTGTCCTCGTGACCAGTGGGAGGGACTCAGCTACCACTGAGCGGTTCTTTTCTGCACAGTTCTGGTCTCCAAGGTTCTGTCCCTTCCATCTCCAGTGCACCACGTTTTCCTAGAAAACATAGCATCTTTCTTGCTTTCAGATGACCTCCAGTTGGAGGTGACCCACACATGTTTACCATGCCAGGTCTCCTAATTTTAATAGAGAAATTTATAGAAGCAGAACATTATTTTTTTCACGTGCATTTCAACATATTTATGAGATTCCAAAGTCAAATAAAACAAGATGCAGCCATAGAAGTGCAGCTTCTGCCCGTGACTGTCTGCTTTCTTCCTTCCCCTCTCCTGCAGGTGACCACTTGCATTTTTCTTATTTACTCTTCTACTTAGGAAAGTGTATTAAATGCAGCATGTGCCGGTGCGCCCACTGTCCTGGTAAAAGCCATGCAGCACGCAACCCTCCCCCGGCTGGTCTCTGCAGAGTGTCCTGGATGTCTCTCCAAAGGTTCTGCCGTGTTTTCTGGAGAAGCAGACTTCGTGGGGTGTGGGCAGACAGAGAAAGATTCTGCTACAACATCAGCTTGTGTGGTTATAGAATCTGCTGAGCTCCCACCTTGGCAGATCCCCTCTGAAGGCGGCAGCTAGAGAAGCAGAAAGAGCTGGTGCCACGTCTGAGTTCAGAGGCAGGAGGAAGCTGGGGTCCCAGCTCAAAGGCAGTGTCATGGTTTATGTCTGTGTCCCCCAGGCCTCATGAGTTTGCATTGTGCATTTATGATTGGTTCATTGTCTAGTGCTTGAATTGATGGTGTTAGTGCTCCACCCACAAAAGGGTGGAGCCAGGATCTGATGTAATGGCAGGAAGAAGGTGTGTCTTGCTCTTTGCTGGTTCCTGTTTGCTGTTTGCAGCCGCTATGAACTGCAGCCCAGCCATGCCTGCCTGCCTTGGAGCCAACTGAGTGTGGACTGAAACCTCCAAAAACTGTAAGAAATAAACCTTTCCTTTCCCAACTTTGGGCTTCAGGTATTTTGTCTCAGTGACGAGTAAAAAGTAACTAAGACAGGCAGTGTCAGGCAGGAGGAATTCTATCTTTGGGCAGGATCAGCCTTTAAATTCTACTTCAACTGATTATGTGAGGCCCATCCATGTAGCAGAAGGCAATCTGCTTTACTTGGGCTCTGGTTTGAGTGTTAATGCCATCCAAATCCACCCCTGCAGAGATCCTCGATGATGTGTTCATTCTGAATCAAGTATCAGGCACCCTTTGACCCATCAAGTTGACGAATAAAATCCACCATTGTAATTTCCTTTTTTAGCAACTTGGTCACATGGATGTGCCAAAGCTTATTAGCCAGGCCTCTGCCCGTGGGTATTTGCATTTCTTACAATATTTTGTTACCATACATAATAACAAATAAGCTCGCTTTCCAGGCAATCCAATTGCTCGTATTAGAGTGTTTGTGGGGTAGAGGGTAGAAGTACAGCGCTTTTCCCTTGGGCCAATGCACAACCTAATTCCAAAGTGGGTGGACTGAGACCCTCTTTGCCCCTCAGAGACTCCCAGTGTCACCCACAGGCCCAGGGGCCGCCAGCCAAGGTCAGGAAGCCACCCCATCCCTCCTGGAGGACACTTTGCAGTTGCTGCTTCTGCTGCAGAGAAAGAATTTTCAAGGCTGGCCAGCAGAAGGCTCGGGAAGGATTTACTGGGCAGAAATAAAAAAGTCCGACGTAGTGCAAGAACTAGAGGTTGGGCCCTCAAGAGAGCACAGAGAGATTGTGCCTGAAATGGGACTATTATGCATCTCTCAAGGGGTGGGAACCCTGGGGGAAGCGGTCACCCCCAGGAGGGCCTTGGCCCTGTTCTGTAGGTTTGGGCCCAGTCTGCTTTTCTTGTAGGGACGTAATTTAAACATTCTTTGGATTCTCTCAATCTGTCCTTTACTTTAGGATCAGGTGTCTGTTCTTCACTTCCTCAAATAGGCCGGATCACGGGGTCCGCATTCCTGAGGATTCCCGTGGGAGAGGTCCAGAAGGGAAGGGAGGTGGATGAGTCCCCTGGGGTCACTTCCACCGGTTTCAGGAGTTGCAGTCTTCTTGAACGTTTTAGTTGTGATTTCCTGTTTTTTTCCTGGTTACCTTTTATTTCTCCTGTCCTACCTAGCTAGGATCCTGGTTGGCCAAAGTCTGAGTTGGCACTTGGGCTTCTTGTCTGTTTGCCAGTCGTCACCCACATGAAATGTTTCTCTTGGACAGAATGACTGCTCCCGGCCCGAGAACTGCAGCCAGTTGTGAATCCTGAATCTGGGTTGATGCCATGCTGACTGGAGTCTCCCAGCTGGGCACAGGAACTGTCCTGTGTCCTAAGCAGTGGTGCCAGGGGATGGGACTCGACAAGAGTGACTGATGTGCACCCAGACACAGCCTGTAAGGACAAAGTGCGTGGTCTTAGAAGCAGAGAGCCAGCGTTGCCGCATTCCAGGTCACATTCCCACAGCGTCCAGTCTGTAGGGTGGGCTGGTGCCTAAGAGCCTAAGAGCCATGTCCTTTAGCTTCCCTACAGTCTCTGCGATCCTCCAGATGGCCCCCCAACTAGCAGCACAACCTGACAGACACTGGGGTGCTTGCTATGTTAAGGTAGCCCCAAAACAAGTTCCTAATCCTTCTTCCCACCAGATGGCTGAGCCCAGGTGTGGGCTGTTTGCCACAGTCATGACCCACCAGATGTCACCAAGGCATCACTGGTGTGGGCTCTGGTGCCACAGACAGTCCCTGTACTCATTAACAGGTGGGTTCTTATTTGTGACAGAGTAAGGGACAGCCTTCCCCGCTGCCGGGTCACAGGTGACTGGCACAGTAAATGAGAAAAACTTTCCAAGTGGTTTTTAAACATCATGTGCATGGACAGGCCTGAGGAGCATCCTGAAGCTGAGGCGAGGACCCTAACCCACCTAGCCATGGAGCAGGCCGGCCCTGCTCATCAGGGAGGAGGAAGTCGCAGGGTCCATGATGAGGGACTCAGGGAAGGTGTGTTATTAGGCAGAAGTGTAAGTACACAGTTGAACAATGCAACTGTGAGAGGGTCACTTATTTTCTAGAATGGAGATCATTTCTGCTTCTCTTGGGGTGATGGAAATCCTAGGAAAACAGGGACCACACCAGAGGAGCTCTGGCCCATTTTCCAGATATGGGTCTAGTTTGTTTTTTTTTTTAAATATGTAATTAAACCTGTAAACAATGATGTGCCCTCTCTACCTGCTCAAGGCTCTTAGGATCAGGGTGCACTGTTTATATTCTCAGTTCAGCCAGGTCACAGGGTTCGGCCTTCCTGAGAAATTCGGGTGGGAGAGGTCTAAGAGGCAAGAACCTAAACAGAACCAAAAGGGGCTGATGTGGTGGCCTGGGGTCACTTCCTCCAGTCCTGGAAGCTGCAGTCTCCTAAAAAATTCAGTTAGGGTTTGTTTCCTCATCCCTGTGCTACCTCACTCGGCTTCTGGCAGCCAGCTCCGACCCCGCTGAACCCAGCCCCGACACAGGGACTATGAGCCCAGACAGTGTCCCGTCTCCCAGGCCACCGGCCCTCGGGAGCGGTTATATTTAGGAACAGAACCCACAGGGGCGTGGAGGAGGAGCGCTGTCTGCCTTCTGGAGGTGGAGTCACAGTTTTTCACAGGAAAGCTTGGCTTAAAGGGAAGAAATGATTTCTCTTTGCAGAATTTAGGGTAAGTCCTGCCATGGTCAGGGATGGGCAGCCAGCGTCTCTTCTCCATGAGCCAACGCAGAGGCATCTGTCGCGAGCGGCTCAGTCCCCAAAAGCCCACTGAGGGCTGCATGGCCTGGTCACAACTCCAGACTTCTGACTTTTGGTGCTGGTGACCACAGGCACTTAGATCAACACCAGTTCTACTGGCTGACCCTAAACAAGCGCATATTAGCCCATAGCCCTTATTTAGGATTGCTGAGTTTATTCTATGTTAGGCTTCGCTTTTCGAGTCACGCACATCTCCCTGATGTAAATGCTGTTCACATAGGAGTTTGCGCTGACGCATGAAGGATGATGACATCTCCAAATTCAGCTGCACAGGGCTCGGATGTAGGAGGATCTGAAACATACGCAGTTACAAGACGCCGTCGTAGTGTCACGAGGAGTGCAAAGGTCAGCGTGCTTCAGGACAGCTTTACAGGGAGACGTCATAGATGTCATGTGGCATCTGGCACAGTAATGACGTCAAACTGCTGATGACGCACGGCTGACGTCACTGCTCATCTGCAAAGCGCCTGGTGCTCTCGCCCCATATTTCCCAAGCCGCGGGGAGAGTGTTATCTACAGCCACGCCGTCCCCTGCCCGTTTCCTGGAGGTTGTGAGCAGTGGTCATGCACACGGCCCAGCTGCTCACACCCTTCCCTGGCTCTTGAATACCTCCTGATGCCCACATTCCTTCCCCACTGTTCCCAGAAGTCGCTGAGGCTTCCCTCATAAGCTTGCTTACGACAGTCGACTTCACTAGTTGGACAGGGCCTGTTATTCATTGCTTCTTCCTTTCTTTGAGATCATAGACAAGCTCTCTGGAGCCTTTGAAGCCACCTTGGGACCATGAGAAGAAAAAGGAAACAGATGGAGTCTGAGTCTTTGAAGCTGCTAGAGTGGCTCAGGAGATCTGACTTCCTGACTTCTCCATGAGAAAATAAAGCCCTAATATGTTTAAGCCACAAGGTCCAATCTAGAAAGATAAGGTTAGGTGTCCAAATGGATACAACTTCAGGCAGTCAAACTTCTAGTAATGTCTTTGTCATATTGTCTTCAAAATTTTACAGATTTTTCATTTTATTATCTTCCATAATATGAGCCAATTAATACCTCTTTCTATTAAAAAGATATTTTATATTAGAAGCAGGAATACTATAATCTCCTCTCTCTCTCTCTCTCTCTCTCTCTCTGTCTCTCTCTCTCTCTCTCTCTCTCTCTCTCTCTCTCTCTCTCTCTCTCTCTCTCTCTCTCGTCCTAGGGATTGAACTCAGTGTCTTTGTGCTAAGCCCTTTTTATTTCATTTCTCTAATTTTTGAGACAAGGTTGTAAGTCACTAAGTAGCCCAGACTCGGCTTGAATTTGTGACCCTCCTGCCTCAGCCTCCCAGAGTGGACCACCGCATGCAGCTCTTCCTTTCCTTTTTAATCCCTCTTGAATTTGCTGAGTCCTAATGTCATGCATACAACAAATGCTCAGTAAACCCTTGGAAATTGGTGAGTTGTTCAATCTTCCTCCTGAACCGATACCTTCACATGACAGATTATAAGCCAATTAAATATGCATGGTACTTTCAAAAGAGCTGCAAGCCCATTTGTCAAGCACAAATGTCAAATTTGGTGAATTAACTGCCTTGGGTTGAAAGTCAAGTTTCAGAAGTGAGAATTTTGCCTCTTAAACTGTTGATAGTGGTTTTTGCTGAGAAACCAGTGGTATTTGGGAGTTTGAGGGCTGTCAGCGTAAGGGTCTCACCCTGGGACCTTGCTTCGTGCCCCACTGAGTGTCCTCCAAGCTTCTTCTCCCGTAAGTGAGAGCCTGGCTCGTGCCTGCCTTGGGCACCTCAGCATCCACCTGAAGAAGCTGAATGTGAGGTAGAACTGGGGTCACTTCGAGGGGTGAAGGGTGCTGGTGAGCTTCCAGGAGTCTGAGTGAGGAGGGGACCCTCGGGGTGTCCCCAGTATGAGCTGGGGATGACAGCAGGTGTGGCACAGGGCACCGCTGCCCCCTCATGCAGCTGGCCTTTCTCCTAGGATGTGCTGCCCTGGAGCCTGACTGGGAGCCAGGGACGCTCCTGGGGCAGGGGACACACGTCACCTGGCTGACGCTAGAGGAGCTGCTCAGTGAGGACGTCCCCTGGGGACCCCTGAATGGATGAGGGGCAGAGCTTTCACCTCACCCTGCCTTTATGTGGGTAGAGCTGCCCCCGAGTGCCACTTGGGGCAGTGTGGGGCTCAGTCCAGCTCCCTGCTGAAGTTCCCCGCCATGAGCCTGAGCTGCATCTCCCAGGTTCCAGGAGGCTATTTCCTTTTGCCACCTAGAAAAGAAATTCAAGGAGCCAGGTGTGGTGGAGCTCAACTTTCAGCCCAGCCCTCGGGAGGCCAAGGCAGGAGGAGATGCAGTCAGCTTTCTGTTGCTGTAATGATTTAGGCAAGAAAAGTTTACCAGGCTCATGGTTTGGGGGGATTCAATCCATGGTCTATTGGCTCTGTTGCTTTGGCCATGGTGAGGCAGATGGTGAGTGTATGTGTTAGAGCAGAGCTGCTCACATCATGGTGGTTGGGAAGGAGAGGGAGAGAGACACACAGACACACAGACACAGAGACTGAGAGAGAAGGGTGGGAAGAAGGGAGGAGAGGAGAAGAGATAGGGATGGGGAGAGGGTCCTGGGACCCCTCAGGTCCTTGCCCCAAACTCCTTCCTTCTACCCACACAGGCCCAGGGCCTACAGCGCCCATCAACTCCCAGCTGTACTGCAGGTCAGAGCCCAGACCTTGGCACAGTGATGTCAGATCCAAATGGCAACAGAGAAGGAAGTGAGTTAGAAAAGAAAATTGGAAATTGAAGGTCCATCTAAAAACACCATCTTTCTCTTCCTTTCTTAGACACTTGCTGAAACCCCCTACTTAGATAGGCTCAAGCTAAAGATCAAGTGGGAGTCCCAGGAAGACGGTGATCCCAAGTTCCTGGTGGCCTGGGGTGGGGCCTCCGCTGGGGACAGGGCTGTGGGTGGCCTTGTGTACCAGTCCCTCCCGCACCCAGGGAAATGGGGCAGGGTGAGCCCATGAAGGAACGTGGGTCACACTGACGTGTGTGGAGGAACATGGGAGCCGTGGAAAACTGAGGGGTTTCTGGGGATCACCACAAAGCGCTTGGAGTGGCAGGCAGCCTCCAGTCCAAACCCCCCAGCTGGGACTGTAAAGCAAAGTAGGGGGTGTGGTGTGTGTGTGTGTGTGTGTGTGTGTGTGTGGTACTAGGGGCTGAACGCGGTGCCTTCATGCTGAGCAACTCCCCAGTCCTCCTTATGCATTTATTTTCATTTTTATTTGTGACAGAATCTTGCTAAGTCACCAAGTTGCCCAGGCTGGGCTTGATCTTGTGACCCTCCAGCTTCAGCTTCCTAGCGTGCAGGCAAGTGCCACCATTCCTGGCTTAGTTTCTCAGCAGCGGTTTCAGGGCCTGTTCCCTGCTGCGTCCGCGTGGAGGAGGCTGTGTGCAGGTGGACACTGGGAGCGCTGAGCTGAAGAAGCTTGGCAGCCCAGGTCCTCGGCCCTGATCCAGGCCTGCGGCGAGGTCGGCTCCTCTCTGGCGTCCTCTGCTGGAAACAATGCGGAACTGTATGTTGCTGATGAGGCGGGAAGGCTGTTCTAGGGTTTGATTGTTTCAGCTGGGGCCTGGGGTGCTACTACAGAGGAGGCCTCAGCAACAGCGCAGCAGGCACCCTGGGGTAACCGGGGACCGAGGGGCAGCCTGGAAGCGGTTCTGCTGGGGTGGCAGCCGGAAGTGGCCCTTGAGCTTGCTGGTGCTCCGCCTGTGATCCAGGATGCTATGGACTGGAAAGGAAGATGGTGAGGGACAATGATGATTCTGGATGTTATAAGACAGGGTCTCACTCTGTAGCCTGAGCTGGCCTCAGACTCGTGATGCTCCTCCTGTCTCAGCCTCCTGAGTGCTGGAATGAAAGGTGTGCCCTGCCATGCCTGGCTCACTCCCTGTATCTTTTAAAAGTGCTATTGAGCTGTGTGCAGGACAGGAGTCATCCGTGGGCAGTGGAGGGAGCTCCTCCGATTGCCCTGGCAGAGGCATCTTCAGTCCATCCCTGCCCTCCTGACCATAATGGGGCTACCTGACCTGTGTGCAGTGGCTTCCTGTGTGATATCTGTTCCCTGGGGACTTGGTTACCCCCGGTGCTGAACAGGTCTGTGGTGACCAAAGGTTGCTGTGACTGCTGAGCCACCTGTGGCTGTGCAGCAAGGGCAGGAAGGGTCACAGTGTCATGTATGCACTCTGACATGTGCCAGGAGTAGAGGGGACCCCAGGGCATGGCCAGTCCCCTCGACGCAGTGCCAGGAGGAGCTGGGAACGAGTGTGTGTGGTGCCGAGGGGGCTACAGTAGGGGTCTAGGGCATCCCTGGGGAGCTGTGGCCTCTGGGCAAGGACCCCTGGGTGACACAGCCACACCTGGCACAGCCATGACAGGTAGGGTGGCCAGGAGGCCATGGGGGAGGGGAATCCATGCTGGGGCTGCTGGACACCTGGCATCTTCCCAGCATGTGGCCTCCAGTCTTGGGCCAGGTCTCCTTCTGGCTGAAGCTGTCCTGCATCTGCTTGTTGCAGGGTTGGGGAATAGGGTCTGGCGTGGTAGTCTTGGCCCGCAGGACAGATGTGGCCTCTTTTATTTTTTGAGATGGGGTCTTGCTGTTTCCCAGGCTGGTGTGGCACTTTTGTGCTAAGGGGGTCCTTTCGTCTCAGACTCCTGAGTAACGGGACCACGGGGCCACCAAGCCAGGCTCCGATGTGTATTTCCAGAGCTGCAGTGGCCTGCCCCACAGGAGTGGGCGGAGCTCCAGGCTCCTTGGGCTGGAAGGGGCTGAGGCTTTTAGCACTTGCATCAGCCAATGGGAGAGTTCAGCAGCTGAACCAAGGAACTGCTGCCCCGAGGACCTGTAGACATAGGGTGTCGCAACCCGGTCCTATTTGCGCTTAGTTTTAAGCACGCTGTTCCCGGGAGAATCTCAGAGGCTGACTATCCACTGAAGTAGCTCTTGTGCTTTCTCTCTGCCTAGGTGGGATAAATCAGGACCCTATGATCCGTCCTGTGTCTCCCAGTGTTGCCAAGCCATTTGGGCACAGTGCCCGCCAACACCATGCATGCTTTTCCTGTCCCTTCCCTCTCCTCTTTCGACCCCTTAGTCTGCTTTGTATTCCTGTCCTAAAGGGCTGGTGACAAAGAGTAGAGTCAAGGCTAAGAGGGGTGGACACAGTCGCCCTGTGACCCATTGTGTAGAACTTCGAGTGTGACAGCTAATGAGCGCCCCAGCTTTGGGAACCCCGAAATGGCTTTTCAGCCGTGTTGGCTGTGTGCTGACCACGTGCACGTATGGATGTCCCTGGGGTGGTCCCTGTTCGTGTCGCAGCACTGCGCTCCTAAACCTGTTGCCTGTCACCCGTGACCTGTCACCTGGAGACAGTTCCCTGTTAAATGCTGATTTGCACGGATAAAATGAATGACTGCGCCCCTGCAGAAGGATAAGGTCAGACACGCACCTCACATTTACCTGCTCAGCTTAAACCATGATTACGGGACAATCAAACCGCGATCAGCGAAGGAGTTAATGACCCCAATGAGACTGGTGACACTTGTGGAGTTACTGTCAGTGTAGCTCCCCGGCTGTCATTTCTGCTTTGTCTTGAGTTTGCACCGTGCCTTGGGAACTTGCATCCACCTCTGGGCTTAGTACGAGCAACCTCAGCATCCCAGGAGCTGTTTGATGGTGAAGGAAGAAAGTCATCACAGGATTTTGGAACGATGGAGGCTCAACCGAGGCTGCACGAGAGGGACAGCTGAGGCCAGCAGGTGGCAGTGTGGACCAGAGAATGCAAAGGCTTGGGCTGGGGCTCACACCGCTGTCTGCGGGGACCAGCGGCCCTTGGTGGCTTCTTTGCCTGCAGGCTCTCTTGGGGACTCAGTGGCCAGTGCAGCACCTCGAGGCTGCACCCTGGGGTGGTTCCCTGCAGGTGCTGACCATCCTCGGTCTTTTTAGCATATGCATCTTGGCAAAGTAGCTTTCTCAAAGTAGAACGCTCGGGAGTTTTCCCCGGGACAGCCTGACCGACCCCGCTGCATGTCCTAAGACAAAGGTGTCAACACAAGCACTGGGAACAGAAGTGATGCCAGCTGTGGCCATGTTTGCCCCGCTGTAGATGGAAATATGGTCCTTGAGCTCAGCATTCTTTATTTGCACAGAGCTGAACAGTGAAGATGGAACTTATTCTTGTCTTCCTTTCTTCTTTCCTTGTTTGTTCTTTCTGGTTCTTACTTCCACAGCTACTGAAAACTGGAGCAACACTGCCTCAGGACACTGTAAATGCCATAGTTTTGTGACACCATTGCTGAACCTCTTATTTAATTTAACCTCTGTGCCCCGCCGTCTGCATGGCTGCAATGGTCGGGGTGGTTTATAGCAAGGTGGTTTCTTGTGCACCCCTGCAGGTGCTCAGTATGCTGAGAGACTGACTCCTCACCCTGGATCCGCCAGCAGGGTCATCCTACATCCTGAGAGTGGGTGGTGCCGAGGGTCT